CTAAACTGGATAGCGGCGCTTCCTTTAGCATTAATGGTGTGTCGCTCAAGTGAGTTGCGTGATCTACGTATGACACCCCATGAACTGCTCACAGGAAGAAGGATGCCTACGCCTTGTTTGTGAACAAGCGGAAAGGGTCCAAGTTTGGCTCTTTTGGAAGATTAAATGAGAGCGTACGTTACATATATGGCCAATTTTCATAAAAAGTTGTCCACATATGTTTCTGACAGGCAAAGAAAAGAAGAGGTGCAGGAGAAGCTCGATGAGCAAAAAAGGAGTACAGTGCAACCTGGGGACAAGGTGTTCGTGAAGGTATTTAGAAGGAAGTGGTATAACGAACGTCGTGAGGGACCATTTGAAGTTGTTCGTAGTACTGGAACGGCTGTCCAGGTTAAAGGGTCTCCAACGTGGTATCATTTGTCACATTGTGTTAAAGTGACTAGAGAAGAGGTGTCACGCGCAGAGAGACAGGATGTTGAAGGCTCAAGAGAGCAGGATGGAGATAGGGAAGAACAGGCAGAAGGAGAGATGCATGACAATATCCAGAGTCAAAACCCAGAAAGAGCGATTGTCCATGCTGTGGAGAACGTTGATGATCATGTGTACACTTCTGATGATGCCAGAGATGACTCTGCAATGGATGGACAGGAAAGGAGATTTGGGGACATTGATTTTCAATGCGTCCCAGTAACAACAGGGCATATTTCAGTGGAATGTGAAACCGCAGAGATCACCAAGGGCAACTCTGTTACAGGAGAAGCTGGTGATTCGGTTAGACAAAGTAGCCCCAGACCAGTTAGGAAAAAAGTCAGACCAAAACGTTACGAAAACTAGGGTTGAAGTAACTCTAGGAAAGTCAGCTCAGCTTCCATGTCAGTGTACGAGAGAGAACAGTGGTGAAGGGAAATTTAGAGTTCAGTGGGAAGATAGCTATGGCATGAGTTTAGATCTGTTAGGAGCAGTTGCATTGAGAAAGTATGCGTTGCTGAATGATAAAAGAAGACTGAAGATTGAGGGTGATTGCAGTCTCTATGTGTACAATTCCCAGCAGGAGGATCAAGGTGATTATATATGTAGTTTTTATAATCCACAGTTTGAAAGTGAGGGATTAGAGTCGGGACTGAGAGTTAATGTAGTGACACTAGTGGTGATAGATGGAAATACAAGTAAAGAGCTCCAAGCTGTAGGGATAATAGATGAATCAACAACAATGACATCAACATTTCAGCCTAATACAACAACAATGAGAAGCAATTCAACTCTTTTAACTTTGACAGTTATTAAAGCTATAAATGTATCACATTTGAATACAATGGCGCCTCAGAAAATCGCTCCAACACCAATTTTAGAAAAGACTGTGATTAGGGTTAGGATGGGTGGTACAGCTCATCTTCCTTGTAGATGTGAGAGACGGAGTGGGGGTGGTGACATTCCTCCCACGTGGAGAGATAATTATGGAGAAGAAGTGTTGTTATCAGGACCAGAAGTAGAAGCTGTGCCCCCTTATCAAAGTAAGTATATTTTGTACAACGATATGAAGTGGAAGAGGGTTATGAGTGATTGCTCACTTCTTTTGCATAATGTTACATGGGAAGATCAGGGAGAATATACTTGTACTTATTTAGAGCCAGCGTTCAAATTTGTTCCGGTTAAGAATTACTGGTTAGAAGGCTATGAAACTCGTAAGGTGACGCTTATGATGAAAGATTTAAAGTCTGTTGAAGTTTCCACAGTCACCAAAGGAGTTCAGGAGCAGTATATTACAGTAGTCACTCCAAGAGCAAATAATACACAGAGTATATCTGCCACTTTGCCCTTGGAAATAATTAAGAGTGTTAATACATCAACTAAAGCCACTATTTTAACAGTAACTCTGAAAGAGATTAATGTTACGACGGCGATAACACATTTCGGAAATGTGACACAGACACCAACAACACATTTTCTGAAATTAAAGGATGTAGTAAATGTGACTCAGAAGTCTATGATACAGTTGGAGATTGGTGTAAATGGTAGTAAGGACAGTGTTGAAATAGGAGAGCAGATGGTAGCAGAGAATGATGAAGATTCATCTGAAATAGTGCAGAATTCTATCCCGGAGGTACAGGATGAGTTCTTTAATTTTGATGGAACACCAGAAGATATATCTGATCAATACCGCTCGTTAGGGAAGAGAGAAACTAAATGGAAGGCATATGGATTTGATTCTTCTGTTTTGCAAATTAAAGATGGATGGGCAGGTAGGAATCTATGGTTCCAGCAGTTAACTCATTCTGTAAGATCAGTGAGGAATCTGGAGGGTCCATGTCTGTTGAGAATTCCAGCACCAGGCACATGGGGTTCAATCTTAGAGACGGTGGCTCAACCTCTATCAACTGCGTGTCAATCTTATGCTTTATCATGGCTGTTGTATCAGCAACAATCATTAACAGATATAATGATGTCGTTGTCGAAGCACTTGTTTAGGCCTAGGTTTAATTGTTCTTGGTTAAATGAATTACCCTATGTGAATTTGTTAGATCGGAAGGAAAATAAGTTAACAGCGATTCCTGAAGCACTGGAGGTAAAACCCGTGAAGGCTAAAAGCAGTTTTTGTTCAAATAAAACATATGATGGACCGGGTATTTTTATGGGAATATCAGATTGTGATGATTATATGATGACTTTGGGTATGCATGAACGTAAGGTTAGGGATGAGATATATAAAGTAACTTTGTCTGTTCCATTTAGTAAGAAGAGCAGGACTTTGATGGTAAAAGATCAGCTTTTGCCTGGCAATGTGACTATAGGGAATTTTCGAGATATTTGGTGAGTTTGTGGTGATAAAGCCTATATATTCTTACCCTATGGATGGACAGGATGTTGTTACATGTCGACGTTGAAGCTTCCATATGAGGTTTATACCATTCAAAAGGGGGAAGCACCGGACACAGCTCAATCTGATTCTAGGTCTGGAAATAGGGTGAAAAGGGAAATGGCGCAATTTCATAATCTGGAATCCCACCAATGGAGGATAAGTCTAGGAGAGAAGTGGGGACTTGGACTTTTTCCATGGTATGGTGTAACATTTTTGGCAGATCACATTGATAATATTACCTATACTTTGCAGGGTTTTGCAAACGAAACGATACGAGGGTTTAACCTTCTGTCAAATACTCAAAGAAGTCACAGACTGACGCTGTTGAAACATGACATGGCTCTTGACTATATTTTAGCCAAACAGGGTGGCTTATGTGTGGCTATGAACTTGACGGGGGACGATTGTTATACTTTGATCCCCGATAGTTCCGATAATATCACTAGTGTTATAGATGCATTGAAGAGTATAAGGGATGCGTTTGGTCAATCTGAAGGAGCTGGATGGTCAGCGAAGGCTTGGTTGCAAGATCAGTTAGGCCCAGTGGGAGCAGTGATAGTTCAGATTTTAGTAGCGGCCCTTGTAGTGCTGTGTGTGATGTTTTGCTTTTGTACTTTGTTATTGACTTTTGCGAAGGCTATGATATTGAGATCGGTTGGAGTTGTGATGCCTGGAGAAAACACTCAGATGCCGTTGTTAACTGTTACTGATCTAGATGGAGATGAACAAGTGGGACTGGATGGAGTATTGATGGATAGATATCCATTTTGAATATCTGATTGTGTGATAATTTTTCACATTTCTTTACATATTATTGTGAAATTTAGTATTTTCTTATGAATCAAAGGGGGGAAATGGAATGTGATTCATTTTATATATCATTTTTATATTATTGTTGATATTGATGTTTTAATTTGCATGTGTTGCTTTGCAAAATATACTGGTTGGTGTTTTCTTTTCTTCCAGAAGCATATGGGGGAATGTGTAGAGTGGGATTAAAATACTCAAACATGGACAATATGAATGGACTGGAGGAAGTTGAACAAGGACGGTGTGGAAATGTTCAGATTCCATTATCGACGTTGCATTGAAAGTCGACACTGCTGAGGAGATGCAGTGCAGGGGACTACATTTCAGTGTCTGCAATGATTTATATACATATTTGCATGTGTAATACATAATTTATGTCATATTCTTTCTGTATACATTTTTTGAAGAATTATGTTTTCTGTTGTTGGGTACATGTGGGGATGCTTAGGGATATTGGGTCTAGGCAGGGACAGAGAGAATCCACAGGAGGGTCCGATGGGTCGACCAGCCTGAATGTGGACATTTTTGATTGTATTTTGTTTTCTGAGGTTTTCATGTGTATTCAATTGCATCATAGCTTAAAATGCATTGATAACGTTTATAAATTTATCTGGAGTACTTAGGTGGTCGCCTGTCTTGATTGATTGATGGATATTTGGAATGAAAGCTGCCAGACAGGTCTCTCACACTCCATAAAAATTTGTTTACACTCCATGAAAATTTGTTTACATAAAAATTTGTTTATTCTCCATACATGTTGTTTTATTGCTAAAGTTACTCAAGAAGCCTGATGTAATATTATTATTATTATTATATATTATTATAATAAAAATTGTTATTTGTCATAATCCTATTATTTTTGTTTTCGAGACTTAATTAGTCTCGAAGGGGGGAAATATGCAGTATCTGAACAGTTTATAATTTTGGCTGACGTTTGCAAATGGTGTGTTAGATGAACTTTACTCTGCCTTGCTGAAACATCTGGAAAGCATCACTATAGGGGCCCCCTGAAACAGAGGAGACTTGGATATGTGGAAGCCAGGGATTGGTCTATTCAAAACACCCATCTTATGGATCTATACCAGGTTTTCAACAAAGGACGGGGAGAATAATCATATTTGAGATTGGGTTAGTTGTTCTCCAGATTCTGCAGAAATCTGTAAATTGACGCTGAAATCTTTTGATATAATAAACCTTTATAATCAAAGTACAGTGTCAGCGGAATTCTTATTAACACAGCATATCAGCATCGTTGTTCGGCCACCACATGGTGACAAAAATAAATAACGTAAACAAACAACAAAGTCTAAGACCAGGTCGAACCCACTCACCCTTTGACCAGCTCCACAGCAATGAAGTCGTTTCCGTCTCCACTGTTGAACATTATGAAGCCGTCCGGGGAGGTGGTCTTGAACTGGAAGAACAGGTGCATAGAGGTGTAGGCCTGCAGGGTGGCCAGGCTCAGGTAGCTGCTCTTGGACTTGAAGGTCACAGGGTCAGCGATGATGGAGCGCATGCCAAAGCGGGCGTTTAGCTCGCAGAAGTCGATGTCTCCGTTCTTACAGAGATCGATGTACAGCATACCATTGAACCTGGAGTCAATAAAGGGGAATAAAGTTATATTTGAAAAATATATTATCTGATACATTAAAACAGATCAACTACATCCCTTTCTTGTTAACTGGAAGGACTTGTCATTCGCTAGCGGCAAACTTATCAACAAGATCTGCTGAAGTTAAGCAAAACAAAACAGCCATGTTAACTGATTTAGATCGGGTTTCTCCAAAACTGACATCATGTCAACAATGTCAACATATCCAATCTGATGGCGTAGTAGTCACATTCAAAACCGTTTGCATTGCCTGTAAAGAGCTTGTAGCTTGTATACTGTTATGTATTTCTGGGTGAAATAACAACGTTTATAACAGTATATAGCAGAAAGTATATAACAAAGTATATGAGAGAAGAGGAACCTGAGGCTCTGCAGGTGTCCAATGAAGCTAGAGGGGATGGCCGAGACGAAGCGTCTCTCCGTCATGATGCCCGTCTCGATGTTGTGGAACTCCAGACGGGTGTGGTCACCCGCCATCTGGCCTGGAGTAGGGGATGGAGTGAAAAGAACGAAAAGAAAAAAGAAAAAGAAAACACTGTCTGATACTAACACAAAAGGGCTGAATATAAAGAGGTGGTGAATTTTCGTTACAATATGGGTAAATACAATGTAATAGTACAAATGAATAAACTCAGCAAGAACAATTCAGACATATCAATAGATGTCAACAGTTTATAGTCACCTTTCTCAAATAATGTTTTCAAATAACATTCAAAACCACTATAAGGATAGTTCATCTTTATTAGCTAATTTTGTAATTCACGTAAGCCTTAAACTAAATGAGAACACCAGACATATCACCCATACAAACAGTAGCAGATGAGGAACTTTCTCTCAGACTGTAGCTAGTATAGTACCTTCTGCTATGTCATCGTCCACCGTGAGCTTGTAGGTTTTGCCCCGGCGGACCACGCGGACCGTATGCCACTCATTATCATTGAGTTTTTGCCCAGCATACAGGGTCTCTGGTCCCTTGCCTGAGAACGATGGTTGGTCACAAAGTTAAAGTTGTCCTGCCTCACCAACCAAACCTTTGCTTTCCAGTTGCTTTCCACTTTCCAATAGGGGCTGTTATATTGGGCCTTTTCCAATAGAAGGAGGTGATATAATGGGCTTATTTGTAACCAATCTAAGGAGCAGGTGTAATTCAATTGGTAGACAATGGCGCTTGTAACGCCAGGGTAGTGGGTTCGATCCCCGGGACCACCCATACGTAAAAATGTATGCACACATGACTGTAAGTCACTTTGGATAAAAGCGTCTGCTAAATGGCATATTATTATTATTATTATTATTATTATTATTATTATTATTATTATTATTATATTATTATATATTGGGGATGATGATAGCAGAGCACCTTGACATGTCAACTTGATTTGTCTTCTGATTCATTTTCAATTGGGATCATTTTTGCATTTTCACATATTCTTTCACTTTTCAAATTGCATGTGGAAAACAAAGGTTTGGTTATTTTGGTAAAAAGCAACAACGAATACATTTTTCTACAACAATATTTCTTAAATTGTGATAGCACACAGGAATAGCACCATCATGTATTCAGCAGAAAAACACTGCAGTCAATTCAACAATTACACAGCTTTTACTCATCATAGGGTCTGGAAATACCTTCCTTCAAAATCTGTTGTTAGTAAATTAATACTAGTTCAAAGAGGACTGTAGTGTTACCTACGTGTATACTAGGTTATTACTGTATCTTTCACAGCCAGGTAAAGCCCCAGAGCTGATCGCTTGAACTTCAGCTTGGTTTTACCAGAATCCCTCTAAGTACCAAATAAAGCCCAGTGATCTAGACAGCCTACTGCACTACCGTGAGCGTTTGTGTGGGTGTGTGTGTCTGACCCTACTTATCTGGCCTCTGTAATGACAGGAGATACAGGAGCTTCAGCAGGAGCGATATTCTCCGGGACACTTCTGTGTGTTCTCACCCTGTCATGGGTGTGCTGTTGATTTAAAGCAGCCGACACAAACAGAGTCTGGCAGACACAACCAGATGAGCTCAGAAACACCTGGAGGGATGCTGCATTGATTTGGACAGTTTCTTGTTTCCTTGTGCTGTCATTGTGGAGTGTTAACAACTAGGCTATTAGCTCAGAGTAGCTCATAAATCACAAAATAGGCCTCATTTTCAGGTATTACACAATATGGGGGGAAAAAATAGAAGTGGTTGGAAAGGTGCTGCTCGATTATGTCTGAGACCACCCGGATTTTCTTCTCCAGGTGGGCTACCCAGCAGAAGACATTATGTAAAATCTGGATTCCACTCTTTGTCCTGAAATGCCAGAGCAATTTACTGCAGCAATTAGTATCAGACATTATAGGAGCTGAATATACAATAACGGTAAACATATCTGTCACTCACAAACAACACACACGCATGCAGGAACGCGTGCACACACACACACACAAACACACACACACACACACACACACACACACACATATATTCACATACACACACACTGAATGTGTCTCTTACATAAAAGACCTCAGTCCTCACATGGTCTTAGTCTGTTGAGAGCTTTGAAACGAATGTGCAACACTTAAAATGTACTTTTCATTCTTGTGTCGGACAATTAAAAAACCTCATAAGGCCTCTGACTACAGAGAAAAATGTGTTTTTGTTCACCTGTGAATACATCATCCATGGAAATAGCATGCTGACTCCTTCACGCACACACAGACAGACAGACAGTACACTAAAGGTTTCCGAGCCCTATTCATGAGTAAAAGCAGTTAATGTTGACCTACTCCCCAACAGTATGGACACTTCATATATCTGAGTGTATTATAGTGTCAAACTAAAGCTCAGACTTAGAGACACACGTTTAGATGCAAACAGAGCTCACCAAATTCACACATTAAATAAATCGTACAGTATCATGATACTGATATAATCATAATAAAACCATTAACTAATTTGTCGCAATACACTTGAAGAGGACCTACACTAAATGAATAGTATAACATCTTTATATATATCTGGTAATCATGTTGTATGTTCAAGCTACTTATTCTACTGTATATATGTATATGTATTCTACGTTGTCCACCTATGACGAAGCTCTTTCATGTAAGAATTTTCAAATGTTTAGTTATGTAACAAGTGGTGATTTCTTAATCTCAACTTCGTGATGAAAACCAAAATATCTGCCATATATAATTATGAAAAGGGTTATATAATTATCCGTCTCTAAAAAGGGAATGCATAATGCAGCCAAAACGGTAAATTAAACTTTCATTACAGTGGAACTTCCTATATCACTAAAATACATTCATACAGGGAAAGAAATCTGTCACAGGACCTTATAACATGAAACGTTCTTATTTAATAAAATATGGTCTGAAATAAAACTAAAACCTAAGAGATTAACAAATCACCACCCTGACTGTCTGTTTCCAGTTTGGGTGTTTCTGTTGTCCGTGATCTACTGATGGTCTGACCAGTTGAACTGACAGACACACCCCTTCTCCAACCAACACCATAGGGATAAGAGAAAGGCACACTTAAAATAACACATTCCTTTAAACAGCAGAGTATAATAATACAAGAGCAAAATGAAACTTGAGTGTTAACTTACTGGAAGTACAGTTTATCCTGATACAGTCTAGATGGGGAAGAATAAATGACAGATGAAATTGCATCCTTCAAGGTTATAGCTGCAGACATCCAAAAACAAGAATTCCACCCTTCCGGGGACGTCCACATGCAGAGAGGCGGCCATTTTGTAAGGGGGAGGTGGGGGGTCCTATATTGACTTTCAGGTGCTAGCGTGTTAGCTTAGATTACAAATGGCTGGCTTGTATTCTACAAGTGCTACTGCAATTTCAATATGATTGTAATAACTGGTAATGTAGCAATAAGTATGAGGTAGAATGAATATATTCACAAATGTCAAATCGTTGGTCCATATACAATAGTTATGACTGACATGGGGATTAGTTGGGTGTTGTATGGTAAAATGTACATAGCGCTTTTGCAGCACTTGTTAAAGTTATGAAATTAACTTAGTTTTGTGACCACTACTAAGTTATAACACTTAGATTATACACATAAGGGCAAATGTAATTTATTTAAAGCTGCATAACAAGGACATTGGCTGTCAACATTTTTTAAAATGGCCGCTTTTATTTTACCAACCACATAGATTCTCCAACCCAGCATAGACTTCCATTTTGGAATAGTTTTCATTTTGATTTAAAACTCAAAGTCTCCAGCTCCAAAGCCTTCACACCAACTTGTTGACTAAACAGGCTATTAAAATCATATATCTGATATTAGCAAGAAGGTGGTGTTAGCTATTCATATTGGAGCCACAGATCTTTGAAACAGTGCAATACTATTCTACTTGACAGTTGAATAAACTTAAATATATAAAAAAGTGTTACAACACTTTTATTATTTTGGAGAAATATTTCCAAGATTATCAATTAAAAAAAGCGAATGGACTAGTGAAAGATAATTGACTAGTTCCTTCGCTGACAACAGATTCCTACCTGTTATAGGCCTACAGGTTTCTGTGACGGACATTTTGAGTCGGCCTATGGGATTCTGCAAGGGACATTCTGGGTTGGTCACCATGTGGCTAGTGGGTTCATGTGTCGTCAACCGCAACAGAAAAGTGGGAGCGAACAGCCACGATCCAATCAGCACCAGCACCATGCAGAGGCACAAGACCCTCATATCTAACAGTACAGTATAGAGACTGTGTTGCTCAGTTGGTAGAGCATAGCGCTTGCAAGGGGTGTGGGTTCGATTCCCGCTGGGGCCACCCATATGTAAAACGTATGCACGCATGACTGTAAGTGTCTGCTAAATAACATATATATTATATATACTGTAGGTAGTTTCTATGAAACAATGTATCATATGGGTTTAGATAAACACATTAAGAATATGTATCTCTTCAACACTTAAATGTGGATATGTGATGCTCGTTATTGATATTGTACTTGATACAAAAAGTGAATTGTGTAGGGTAGTTTTGTGTAGCCAATTTTTGTAGTTGCAATTCTTAATAAAATACTTTGATGACTAAAGTAATATTTAGTGTGCATAACATAGTCTATCAATTGCTACTATAGGTATTATAATGACGAAGCACACTACAAACTATTATGACAAATATCCAGCTTTATTAAAGCTTTAATCAATCTTAAAGACAAATTGTGTGTAAATATAGGTTATGTACACTAGTGCTTCTTTCCTTTTTGTAACACAGTGGTGTGTTTGTAAAAAAAGAGAGAAGGAAGGTTGCCTGGGGGGCAGCCAGCTGCAGGTTTGGCTGGGCTCTGTTCTCGGGCTGTTCGCCTGACGGGCCGCAGGCTTAAGGCCTTTGAAGGGGTGAATACCATCTTTTGACAAAGCATGATGGGAAATGGAGTTGATAGCTAGGAGATGTACATAGAGATTGTATATAGTATGTGTACACCATAAACAAAGAGAAGGAGAACAAACCCAAAATCAAAAGCCAAGAAGTTTCAACTTGAAGACAAGAAGATGATGTTAGTTGAAAATGTAAAGTTGAGATTTTTCTTTCTCAATTTCCTGTAGATGATGAACTGAGAATCAGTTGGAGTAAGTCACCTCTTAGAAAGTCACAGCACTACACAATGTTTATAAAGATGTATTTGATATAATATATTATAATAACAATAGTGTGCTAATCAGCAATAGTGTGTATAGTATTCAGACTTTAAATGACAATTTAAGATGTACTTTATAAATAATGATATCTACTGGTGCTGTGACTGTCTCAAAATGACAATGGCTATGGTTTATCTGTTCAAAAGATGGGCCAGACAGCATATTTATCAATGACAAGAACTTTCAGAATGAAATAGCTTAAATAAAGCCAAAAAAGTTTAGTTAAAAAGTATAGCAATGTCTATAAAGAGTGTTACTCAATCTATATCTAATGACACAGATCACAATAAAGTCCATGCAAATAAAATATATATATTTTTTTATCACTACTCCTTATATTATTGCGATCCTTTACTCTATTAACCAAACCAAAAAAGAAATAAAAGAATAATGATGGAGGGATAGAGACATTAAACGAAGAGAGAAAGAGAGTGCCACGTTTTTTAACACGTGGCGTAGTCTGTAATGTCATACGATACCTAGGTTGACCGTGAGCTTGACCCGGCCACCGTCCAGCTCGAGACGCAGCGTGTCAGCCGAGTCCCGCGAGGTGGTGGCCATGAGCAGGCCGTAGGCCCGCTGGGACATGAAACGTAGAGACACGTCCTCAGCCTCTGTGTGCATCACCTGAGGCATCACCACCTTCATGTACATACTGCCGTCATAACTCAAGATGGACGCCTCTGTCGGGGGGAGAAAGAGAGAGAGAGAGAGAGAGAGAGAGAGAGAGAGAGAGAGAGAGAGAGAGAGAGAGAGAGAGAGAGAGAGAGAGAGAGAGAGAGAGAGAGAGAGAGAGACAGAAATGTGTTAATCACAATATCCGCTGTCACACATCTTGTTTAGGTGGAGAAATGTACATCGTAACTACATCAGGTTTTCAGCACACGTGCACGCTCACACACAGACACACACACATGCTCCCCATGCTATTGTCCCTTGCTGGTTTCCCATCACCGCTCTCTTCAGGTGAGACTCTCTCTGTATTTTTTCTCTTTCATTTTTCTTGCCATAACAAATGTTAAGTACATACTGTACCTACAGCATGCTGTAGACTCCCCTAGAGTGTATCCAACCGTACTCGTTTACACACAGATGATGGCTGAGGTACAAGGGAAGGGCTCAAGATGGAACACACACATACACTCATACCTCACAGCACACTTCTATACCTGTCTCACAGTAGAGATGAGAGGGAGAGAGCGCTGTATAAAAATGCGTTAAATCGGCCATGAAATAGCTACTCTGGCAGAGCCGGGTTTAAAGCAGAGAGGAAGAACACGAGAGGGAAACAAAAGGTGACAGACTGTGATACCCTACATCTGCTGGAATCTGAATCCACTGATATTACAGGCCCACTCTGCTCGCTCTCCTCCTCTCTCTTTCTCTCTCTTTTTCTCTCCATTAATTGCTTCCCGGCATTCAGCCAGTAGACACAAACACTCTTTTAGTCCTCACAGCTGTGAAAACTCCATCTGGAAAACACACACACACACACACACCCTCCTTTGACGCAGTGGCAAAGAAATTGCTGACAAACTCTACAATTACGTCCCGATCAATATGTTATTATGTACGATTAGATGCTTCTCACCCTCCTCCCTTCCAAGCTTCTGCCAAGGCTTCATTTATACACAGCATAACAGGTATAGGCTGGACGAGGACAGGGGGAACACCTCTGAGTACAATGAAGACAGAACCAGGAAGAGAGAGGGGAAGAGGGAGGAGAGAGGAGAGAGAAAGAAAGAGGTAAGGTGGATAGAGTGAAAAAGAGAGAGTGATAAAGACAAAGTAAGAGAGAAAGATAGAGAAAGAGAGGGAGAACTAACAGAATGTAGTTGGGAGAGGGGGAACACCTCCAGACAGAATGTCTACGGTTGAGTGTGAGGTGTGAAGAGAGATCAGGGAGGTTTAATATCCCAGTAAGTGACTGTCAGGCTGATACTAACTGACAGAGCTACAGACCCCTGAGGGACAGACAGACATGTCACTATAGTGTGTTCACATAGACATGGTGGCAGGTTGTCTTCCGCAGGCAAGCCACACACAATAGTCAGGGATTAGTTCCTTCACTTTAATCTTTTCATTTATCACAATTGGGATGGTATTCAGAAAGCATCTCAGAATAGGAGTGCTGATCTAGGATCAGTTTAGCCTTTTAAAACATAATGAATAAAAGGGAAGGGCCTGATCCTGGATCAGCACTCTGATTGAGATACTTTGTGAAAAGGGACCCTAATCTTGGCTTAACCGAAATGGTTAAAACATATATTTAATATGAAGGAAAATATGTACTGTAGGGAGAGGATGTGATGGGAGAGTATGGAAAATGGAAACTCCTCTACTCCAATATTCTACTGCAGCTACCATAATGTTATGTTATTCTGTTTTTTTTCTGTTCTCTGTTACTGTCCATGTTACATCCTGAACATTATAGTCCCATTAAATTAACCAAGGAGTTTTCCCTCACTGTCTATACATCATAAACACAAAGCATATCCAATCCCGCAGCTGACTGAAAGTGTTAATTAAAGCCAGTAATGAGGTGACAAAGCTGCCCTACCGCCAGGAATTTGGGCACTTAAATCAACAAAGAGCTTTAATTGACATTCCATCTGACCTATCGATGATGAGGTAGACCAGGATGGAATACTTAATCAGGAAGTTGGAGAATGGATCTGAGGATGTGATTGGGTGACAGAGGTATGTCATTGTGACTTTCAATCATCCATTTATAACTATCTGATTATATTGTCCTTTGTATTTCATCTGTGTAAAACCCTAGTTGAATGTGATCATCTTTGAGCATGTATGTGTGTGTGTGTGTTTTGTTTTGTGAGCGTGTCGGTGTGAGTCAGCCTCTCTGAGATATGTATTCAGATGACCTGCTCTGTTTAAAGGACACTGCTGCCACTGTGCTCTCCGGTAATGAAAAACTTGGCATGCATTAAGAGCCAATCAATGTTCATTATACTGTCAATCTCCCCAATAGATAAAGAGCTGCTATCTCCCAATGACAAGGGAACAGGCACTGACGCCATGACGACTGCACTCAAATGTTCCCACTGACTACCCTGTCCTGTTGACCGCTTGTGTGCGTGCATGTGAGTGTGCGTGCGGTGACAAAAGCTTTGAACAGAGTGTACTAGCACCTAAACCATCTCATTTTGATCTTTTATAACCACGGAGAGAACAGGACAGGAGTATCCACACCTTTCACTGTGCTCTGTTTGTTATGACACCTGCTGAGGACACTGTACACCTCTATTTTTTTGTCTGAGTTGTGCTTCTACACTGCATTGTGTTCATGTCCTTGATTTGACACCTCAACGGGACATGGTAAACACTTGTTTCCCCTGGCTCAGCCGCTCTAGAATAGAGTACTTATACTGCTTTGATTCTCTATTACCCTTGTCCTTGGTTTGATTCTTTATTACACTCTTTGTCCTTGCTTGGTTTGAAATGGTGAAAGTGTGATGTGTGGAGTGTTTTTGACATTGACAAAAGCATACTAACTGTAATTTAACCATGCCCCCCCCCCCCCCCCCCCCCCCCCAAATAGTGAAGCAAACAGCTGAGTGAATCTCAGATGTCCCCTTCAGCTCTGCTGAACCCCACTGCGTTTTTCAATTTCACTGACGGTGCACACACACATACACACACTCACCTACACAAATGTACACACAAACTGTGTGAGCCTGTGTGTGCCTGTGAGTGTGTATGTGTGCGTGCTTGTGCATGGGCGCTTGCATGCGTGCGCCTGTGTATATGCACGCCTGTGTGTGTGTGCATATGTGTGTGTTTGTCTGAGAGTGTGAAAGTGAATCAGTAACTCGGTGCAGCTCATTGTAATTGCTGATGAAGAAGATGAGAAGGATGGGAAGGCTGACTGATTTTAAAGTCAGCTCCACTTTACATAATTACCACACAAATTACACAGGAAAGAGAAGGTGCCATTAGGATGAAAGCTTGGAGGATTTCACTTGAAAAGGAAAGAGTTTTGCTGCAATCTACTAGCAGATGTGAGGGCAGCCGAGGAGTAGCATGAGGTTTATCTAACAGGTGTGCTCATCTAACATTAATCTAGCAAAACAAACACACACACACACACACACACACAGGAACACACGCATATACACATACGCACACACGAAAGCACGCGTGTGGGCACATAAACACACACGCACACGCACACGCACACACACACACACACACACACACACACACACACACACACACACACACACACACACACACACACACACACACACACACACACACACACACACACAGAGAGAGAGAGACTATACAGTGCCTGTAGCTGTTCTCCTCTAGCCTAACCTCTTAAGGGAATCTAGCTAGAGCACCTTCACAAGTGCTAGCCTTTCAAAGCAACAGAAAAACACCTCAGCTATTTCAAGGCCCCAGTCCTGAGTGCCCGCCAGTGAATTAAATGAGATGAAATAAGAACAAACCTGCCCCCCACCCCACACAGAAATAAATAAATAAATAAGAAACCTTTAGAGAACAGACATAGTTCCAAACCACTGCAGAGGCAGTCATAAGAGACAAATGTCTCACTCACTGTTTTTATGAAATGGAACTGCATTCACCCATATTCAATTGTCTTGGAATCAGAGTCTGATTTGAAGTCTTCTACCATGATAAACATTCTCACCACGATACCGCGATAAACATTCTCTAAGTTATTGTATCATTGTATCCCCCTCAGTTGACGTCAACCAGTGGTGATTATTTGTGGCACGGCGCCCACAGAGGACCAAATATGATAAATGGGCCCATAATGCGTTGAGACGTTACATGCCCTTAAAATGTCCTCGGAGTCTCTCAGCTGTGCTGTGGAGAGAGACTGCAGTTCTCACAAACAACCACATTGTGGCAGCAGAGTCCACAGTCACAATACACTACACTGCACTCTGAAGGGTGGTGGGTGGTGTGTGTGTGGGGGGGTAGTCATGCAGATATGTTTGTGCATCCAGAGAGAGTTTAAAGCTACTATCAAAGAAGTCAAGGTTTGTAGGTACACTAAAACATGCTGGGTTGTTTGGATGACCCGTTTGCTGGGTTGCAGGCATTGGGTCACATATTTGGGTTGTTTTCTTAAAAAATAGCTATGTTGGGTTGTTAATGCTGGGTTATTGATGTTGGGTTGTGGAGATATGACCCAGTGGGTGGGTTAATTCTCCCGCTAAATCCAGAAGATCGAAGTGATCCAGCAAGCTCATGAATGAGGATTGTTGCAACTGTAGCAAGTCTACCAGACAGTGCAGCCAGCGCTGAGTGGAATTACTTTTTGACAAACAAATGGGCATGGCGTTGTGGCTGACCAAAAACTGTGACTAAAACGCTAGCTAACATTACTAATGATCCATTCAGGTTAAAAAGACCTAGCTATCATAATGACATACTATCTCAGTCATTGACAATTTTAGACAATGTTAGCTAGAATGCTAGCAAGTAAACAACTGCATGCTTTCTAGCTCAAACACTAGCTAGCTACTTAGCTAGCTAGCAAACTATTTTCCTGTGCTGTGTGTGTTAGCAGAAAGGTAACATTTTGTTGAAGTTTTACTAGCTAGCTAGCTATATCAGTGCCTGTAGTTAGAAAGCTTGTCTTCTGTAAGCTTAACTTTAACTTTACTGTGTGGTGCAATGACTTGACTTC